TTTTTTAGTATATTTAGCATATTAATTCTTGTGTGTGTCGCGGGAGATTACATGATTTTCAAAGTGAAATATACTCATTATGTGTTTCTTATGTGTAGGAACGAGTTTGGATGATAAATGATCAAAAGATGACAATTCGACACAAAAAGAAGAAATTAAAGAAGTGGGAGCTCGTCTACTCTCGTGCTTGGCACGAAGTCGGACGCGAAAAAGGAGAAAAATTAAGGCACAAAACAGCGAAGCGAAGCAAAGGCACGGAGCGCTTCGCGAAATGGAAGAATTTCAAAAGCTGCATCCGCGTCAAAGTCCGCGTCTAGACGCGAAGGCAGACGCAGATTCCAGCTCTCCCATCCGAAGTTGGATTGAAGAATTCCGCCCCTCATCAACCCTAGGTCATATAAATACATCCTAAAACACTACTTTGGGAGAGGAGACACTACTTTAGGGTTAGACAACACCCTTGGAGGCAAGAACACGCTAGGAGCAAGGCGGGGAATTCTTCTACGAGTTTTTCCTTCCTCTTCCTATTTTTCATTGTTGGTTATGACTTTTAGTATTGTAGTTTTACATACTATTATGAATAGCTAATTTGTTATCTAGAGTTTTGATAGAACCTTTTGTAGGATAAATTCTTGTTATGTTTTTATATAATTGAGTCATAGCTTTTCTCTATTTGTTCAACTACGTTTATATTGTGGTTGGTTGAAGAGCTCTCAATTAGCTGTGCCTATTTAGTATGCATAACTCGGGAGAGAGTGCATATTTAGGTAATTGTTGAACAACACCACTCCCAGAGTATATGAGGGATCAATAACCGAGGGTTTAAAGGTGGGATTAGGGTTACGAAGCCTTGGGTGCGATCGGAAGTGAGCTGTATTAAAAGCCAGCTAGCGTAGCTCGGGAGAGTGCGTCTAGTAAATTGTCGTAATTACTCGGGAGAGATTTACGGTGATAAGAGTGCCCATGATCGATAGAGAATACTTAGGCGAAATTATAGAAGACATAGCGGGAAGGATTCCAACAATTGGGGAAATCATAACTCTAGACCTCCTTAATCTTTTCTCTAACCCTCAGTATCGTTAGTTGTTAATTTACTATTTTAATTTGTTAGTTAAGTAGTTAAACACAAGAATCTTAATATCTATAAGTTAGGAATTGTTCAAGCTTGTCTTCTTGGTGATAGTGAACAGCTGTAGCTAAACCTTAGTTCTCTGTGGGATTCGACTCCGGACTTGTAAACCGGATTATATTTGCAGCGACCGCTTAGTCCTTTTTATAAGGCATAGTTGGGCGTGATCAAATTTTGGCGCCGTTGCCGGGGAACTAACGGTGTAGTTGTAGGTGTACATATTGCTAGGTTTCAAGTTTGAACTTTTATTTATTATTTGATTTTTTTTTAGTTTATTTTTTATATTTGTTTATTTGAGAAACATGACATCATGGAATTATGAGAATTTTGTTGTTGGTAATTCTACTTTTGATCCTCCTTATGCATATTGTGAAGGAAACCACCCAGGGCAAAATTATCAAAATATTCCTGAAAGCGAGTTTTGTGCACCAACTCAATCTTATGTGTGGAATGTGTGTGATATGTGTGGTGGTCAAGATGGTCACTTTCACGGTTGTGCTTATATTTCTTACCTTCCTCCAACCCCTTACTTTGATGGTTCTTCTTTTTCTGGTGAAGTTAATAGGAACAAAGAACCTAGGGAAGCTGACCTAAAGAAGCTCGAAGATATGTTAAAGTGCATTTTGGAACAACAGAGTAAATTACTACTGCGGATAGAAAGGCAGGAGGAAACTATTCACAACTTGAAAGTTCACATGAGTCAACTGGTTGAAGTTTTTAATGCTCAACAAGCCAATATTGTGAATAGTATCCAAGAAGAGCGTGAATTAGATACAAAAATTGATGAGCTAGAGGAGGAGGCTAGAGTAGAACACCAACAATCAATCGCACTAGATTNACTAACACACAAAAAAAAAAAGGTATTTGTCAATTTGAGGCTAGCTACTGATTTGGCAATTCAGAGGCATCCTTCGCATAAATGCTGGTGGTTATTTGTCTCAATCAACCAGTATCAATCACTGTACAGGTTATACGGAGTAGGTAAGTCTTGTACCGAGGCACTTACGTAGTACTCCTAGGCTGGTGCATACCAGATACGTAGTGGCAATCTGTATTCATATTTGAATAGTTCGAGCAATGATACTAAATTTCAGCTTGTGACTCTTTCCGGACTATTCTCATGAGTTAAACCAGAAGCGTGCTCCACATGACTACAAGATAAGAAGCAAATGGAAAAACTTAGCCGACTAGAATCATCTGTAACTACAGAATGTAAAGTACCATTTTCAGATGATTAAGGATATATAGGGTAGTACATACTCAGAAGATCCAGAGTCCGCAAAGATGGCATTACTAGTGGATAAATTTGAGTGGTCCTGTACAATAATGAACCTATTCTTCCTTGCGCTGCCTGATTGGACAGAATCGTAAAAGCTCATAGCTGAACTTCTATAGGACATCCCTGCATACAATATTGTAAACACCAAATCATCAGAAATTTTGCGACCTGAGACAAAATCTTGGTTCCACAGTATGAATAAAATGGGAGAAGGAACTAAAAGGAGAAGAAAGAGAACACAAGGGTGTGTCAATTGCAAAAATGTGGTTTTCCAACACCACCCAGTTGCTGACTAAAAATGCAAAGAATCAGCGCACATATATATCGTGTCCAGCGATATTTTTGCATCTTCCTACTGTCATGAAGATGCTCACACTACGGGAACTGGTATCAGTATCACGACAACAACAACAACAAACTCAATGTAATCCCACAAGTGGTGTTAGGAATCAGTATCAAGAGAAAAAAAAAATTCCAAAACAAGAATGATGTTGACATATATACAGAATTAAGGAGATAACCAACAGCTCCATTACGATTTTGCTTGTAAGGTGAAGGTACGAAGCCATTGTTAGCATTCCATACACAAGTAACACCAATATGTCGTCACTTCAAAGCATGAAACACAAACGAAAGAAACTGAGTACAGGTATGAAATGCAATTAAAATGACTTGACATGCTGAAGAATGAAGAAAGTCAAATTTATCTTAACAAGGAGCATTCTTTTGGAATGAAATTGCATAAAAACTTGATTGTTAATATATTTACACTCTAACATAGGACATAGGAAATCCAAACTGAAAAATCCAGATATTTACCTTGAAACAATAGCAGAAAAAAGAAGAAGACAGTAAAGAGCAAGGCAAGGAAACTGCCATTCAATACTGATGATGTTGACGATGCCTTGGCTGCTTTCATTTTCTTCAAAGCCTTCATTCGTTCAATCCGTGCACGTTTGATCATAGCAAGTTCCGCTATCTCTTTTATCAGCTTCTGGTCAGCAGCATCCAATGAAAATCCTCTGGGAGGTCTAGGAGGCTTAGGAGGTTTTTTAGCACTCATCGATTTACGTTTTTCTTTCACCGTTTTCTTCTCTACTAAATTTGTCTTGTCTATAAACACTCTAACATTCCCTGGAGAAAGCTCATCGCCGTCTTTTATATTTCTGTTTTTATTCAACCCATTTTCAGCTCTAGAAAGTTCTTCACCATCATCATTACAGACACTAGTGAATAATATATCCCCTGCTTTGCCATTTAATGGAGAATTAGTACTTCTTGCTTCTTCACTTGTACTTCTACAACTCTCGAGATCAACCACAAAATGCCTCTCTGTAGATGAAATATGATCCATCAAAACCTCACTCAACAAATCTCAGTCTCGTTACACTTATACTCATCAATCGTAGAAAATGCAGCACGCAAATTCGGCTATCTTCTTCAAATTATCATCTGAAGCAAACTCTGAAAAACAAAAGTTTATCAAACACTTTTAATTTCCTAAAAAAAGGATCAATAGGCAATTAATAGCAGAGGTGGGTCCAAGATCTGAACTGTTCACGTTCGAAATTCTACCATATTCCGTTTGGTTTACTGAGTTCGAAATCCATTATTTGTATTATTTACAGGAATTTTCAAAATATATAGCAAAAGTTAGTGGGTTCCGATGAACCCATACCTGGCACGCTAAATCCACCCCTCATTATTTGCACAATTTAACAATTTCCAATGACCTAATATTGCTGAATTGAGGGAAGTAACCATCAATTCTTTAACATTATTCTTGTATTGAAGTACAATCTACTCAGCGCTAGGTACTAGCACTTCAAAATTCAGCAAAACTAACAACTCATAATACTCATGGATTCACTACAGCAGGTAAAACAAGTACTGAATTGCAAAAGAAAGAGGTAAAGACTTAAATTTTAGGAACAAATAAATCCTACAATCTCAATAAAACCAATTAAAGTAGCTAAATCTAAACAAATCATGTATCAATAAACACAATAAAGACATAAAAATGTGAAAAAAGAGAGTACCTTGATTTGAAGAGAAAGTGAGAAAAAGAGATTTAGCTCAGATAGAAGAAAGTAAAGGTTAATGTAAGAAAATTAATAGAGGAGCCTGTGTTGAGTACTAAAAAAATATTTGAGATCTGAAATAGTACTGTGGCAGAAAGTTCATTAAAGTGAGTGCGTCTATTTTAATGAATGATTAGTGATACTCCACCAAACTAAGGGTCGCAGCGAGAGGTCTCGGGTTCGAGTACTGGTACGGAGTTACCTTTGTTAGAAAATGCTTTATTCTCAATGGGTTTTCCATCGCGAATTTGAATTTAGTTGGGCTCTAATGTGGGTACCAGACACCGGTTGAAAAATCATAGATTTAGTCGGGCCCCAATGCGGGTATCGGGCACCGGGTGAAAAATCGGGCGATGTGCACAGATAGCCACTAACAGCTCCTGTCTTTATTTTAAAGCCACTGTTTTAAATGTCTTTAGCTTTTAGCCACTGGTTTAATGAACTTTAACTCCCGGACGAAAATACCCTTATGCTCATGTCCTTAACTTCAGGAATTCAGAACTACATGTCCTTAACTTTTGAACTTGAAACTCTAAGTTCAGGACTTCAAGACTAAATGTCCTTAACTTCTTAACCTATAACTCTAAATTCAGGACTTCAGGACTACATGTCCTTAACTTTTGAACTTGTAAGTCAAAGTTAAGGACCTATTGTCCTTAACTTTTGAACTTGTAACTGTAAGTTAAGTAGTGTTTGTCCTTAACTTTTGAACGTGTAACTGTATGTTAAGGACTGTCTGTCCTTAACTTTTGAACTTGAAAATCAAAGTTAAGGACCTATTGTCCTTAACTTTTGAACTTGTAACTGTAAGTTAAGGACTGCTTGTCCTTAACTTTTGAACGTGTAACTGTAAGTTAAGGATTGTCTGTTCTTAACTTTTGAACTTGAAAATCAAAGTTAAGGACCTATTGTCCTTAACTTTTGAACTTGTAACTGTAAGTTAAGGACTGCTTGTCCTTAACTTTTGAACGTGTAACTGTAAGTTAAGGACTGTTTGTCCTTAACTTTTGAACGTGTAACTGTAAGTTAAGGACTGTTTGTCCTTAACTTTTGAACTTGGAAATCAAAGTTAAGGACCTATTGTCCTAACTTTTGAGCTTGTTAGTTTAAGTTCAGGCCCAAGTGTCCTTAACTTTTGAACTCTGTATTACTAAGTTCAGGGACCAAGTATCCTTATTTGATTTCCTTCTTCTTTATAATTTTTTTTTTTATGATGCCTAACAAAGGCGTTTATCATATTGAAACCAATGCTTCTCCTGCAACCAACATAAAATGGCTCCTCAGAAAAATATGTAAAACTGAAGAGAAAAAAAAGAAAAAAAAAAACCACACACACACAAAGGTAGTATGCAAGTTATATTATGCTTGAAGCAAAATCATGATTAGCGCATGTAATTTTACTGAAACAAATCTATGCAGTCAAGCATAAATTAGCAACATGAACACCAGTTTACACAAATATTATGTAAGGAGGCAATTAGAACATATACTTCCACCATATGACTGAATATTGCTTCCCTTTAAATGAACTACACAACCAACTACATCTGAACCAACATAGAAAAAAAGCAGACTAAACCACAAACTATTGACTAGAATGGACAACATAGCAATCCTAGAAAGAATACATATGACCTTTTCAAGCTTCTCGAAAAGAGATTTTGCCCTCAATAGAAAATGACTCTTGTTTAAATAATTGATAAATGATGAAAAGGTTGCATATTTTTTAGTATATTTGCATATTTAATTCTTTGTGTTGTGTCGCGGGAGATTACAATGATTTTCAAAGTGAAATATACTCATTATGTGTTTCTTATGTGTAGGAACGAGTTTGGATGATAAATGATCAAAAGATGACAATTCGACACAAAAAGAAGAAATTAAAGAAGTGGGAGCTCGTCTACTCTCGTGCTTGGCACAAGTCGGACCGCGAAAAAGGAGAAAAAATTAAGGCACAAAACAGCGAAGCGAAGCAAAGGCACGGAGCGCTTCGCGAAATGGAAGAATTCAAAAGCTGCATCCGCGTCAAAGTCCGCGTCTAGACGCGAAGGCAGACGCAGATTCCAGCTCTCCCATCCGAAGTTGGATTGAAAGAATTCCGCCCCTCATCAACCCTAGGTCATATAAATACATCCTAAAACACTACTTTGGGAGAGGAGACACTACTTTAGGGTTAGACACAACCCCTTGGAGGCAAGAACACGCTAGGAGCAAGGCGGGGAATTCTTTCTACGAGTTTTTCCTTCCTCTTCCTATTTTCATTGTTGGTTATGACTTTTAGTATTGTAGTTTTACATACTATTATGAATAGCTAATTTGTTATCTAGAGTTTTTATAGAACCTTTTGTAGGATAAATTTTGTTATGTTTTTATATAATTGAGTTCATAGCTTTTCTCTATTTGTTCAACTACGTTATATTGTGGTTGGTTGAAGAGCTCTCAATTAGCTGTGCCTATTTAGTAATGCATAACTCGGGAGAGAGTGCATATTTAGGTAATTGTTGAACAACACACTCCCAGAGTATATGAGGGATCAATAACGAGGGTTTAAAGGTGGATTAGGGTTACGAAGCTTGGGTGCGATCGGAAGTGAGCTGTATTAAAAGCCAGCTAGCGTAGCTCGGGAGAGTGCGTCTTAGTAAATTGTCGTAATACTCGGGAGAGATTTACGGGTGATGCAGTGCCCATGATCGATAGAGAATACTTAGGCGAAATTATAGAAGACATAGCGGGAAGGATTCCAACAATTGGGGAAATCATAACTCTAGACCTCCTTAATCTTTTCTCTAACCCTCAATATCGTTAGTTGTTAATTTACTATTTTAATTTGTTAGTTAAGTAGTTAAACACAAGAATCTTAATATCTATAAGTTAGGAATTGTTCAAGCTTGTCTTCTTGGTGATAGTGAACAGCTGTAGCTAAACCTTAGTTCTCTGTGGGATTCGACTCCGGACTTGTAAACCGGATTATATTTGCAGCGATCGCTTAGTCCTTTTTATAAGGCATAGTTGGGCGTGATCAATAATTCCTTGATTATTAACAAGTCTAGCTCCGCCCACCCAGTCTTTACAATCCACTATAATTCTGTTTGGGAAGGAAAGGGTAACTGAGTCTTTTCATATTAATTTTAATAGACTAGTGGCTAGTTTTGCTCAGCATTAAAAATGGTGGATAAAAAATAAAAACCACTTTAAATAGTGGCTACCCCATACAATTTTTACTGAAAAACCAAAGTAAGTGATACACCATACGGTCCGCTTTAATTGATTTTTTTGTTTTTTTTACGATCCACAATATTTAATTTTCTCAAATATTAAGAATGATTTAGCTTCTTTTTTTTTCCAAAGTTGTTCTTGGAATAAACAGCCTAGAAATATTTGCTATATATAATAATGAACAATGTGGTCATTTTTATTGCTAAGTAATGCTAAAAAATGAATTCCTTAATATATGTGAAAATAGCTAAAAAAATCAATTAAAGAGGACCGGATAGAGTAACTGGTGAAAATAGCACCGCCTAACTAGTTTTCGGACGGGTAATAAAAAAATAGGTAGTGTTTACAAATTCATTAAATTAAAGCCACTGTTTTGTTGAAATACTAAAATTTCCAAAAATATGCTAGATTATGGAGCTCATGCATATAAACTTTCAGCATATTATGTTGACACTCGAGCATATTATGAAATTCTAGTATATTATACTGAATCTCATATGTAAAAAAATCGAACTTCAGCATATTATGCTGAATATTTTCATATTTATAAGTGTGTTTTTGTTCCAATTATATTTTTACATGAAAAAATAATTAAATTTCAATTAATTTGAAATTGTGACTATTATTTAATTATCAATTCAAAATTTGGATATTTGTGATTTTTTTTTCCGAATAACTGACACTTCGAGAACTTGCATTCAGTTTGAATTATTATGAGAGAGAAACAAAGCGACAGAAAGGCAAGCGCACGAGGGGTTATCTGGGCGATAATTAGACATGGATTTAAAGTTCAAGATTTTAGGATAATTTATTCACGTTATCGAGTTGGAAATTAATCATATGTACTTATTTAATATATTGTTTGAGTCAAAATTATTGAGTTTTATGTGGGAATTAACCTCGAAACTACTGGCTTTCAAATTGTTTGTGGGTCTGAATTCTCCATCTTATCATACTTTTTTAAGTCAAATTTTTACCATTTGATTTTTGAAATTAACAGCAAGTCAGCAACAGATAAGGAAAGAAAAGAAGAAAGAAGAAGTAGTAGGAGCAAGGGACAAAAAAGGATTTTTTTTTTTTACTTTTATTCTCAGTCATAAATTATTTATATTCGGTAACCAAAAAAATATAAAATTTATAGTATAATTTTTGTATATAACATAGAATGCATATAAATATATATATATATATATATATATATATATATATATATATATATATATATATATATATTTTCTATTATTTTAGTAGTGGCTATACAGTGTCATTTTTCTAATTAAAAAAGTTAAAATTCGATCCATTAGACATTTGGCATTGATTACTAATTTCCACCGACACTCACTTCTTGACACACTCCAGAGTATTTTCCACTATCATCACCTTGGACCCAATCTTGATGCCGTTGGGTGATTTGCACAAATAGAGACATTTCGGTGTCACTTTTGATTTTTGATCTCGGTTATTTTATGGGGCAGAACTTTAAATTTAACAGTATTGTACCTTGCTTGATGTTGGCCCCCGAGGGCATAAGGAAAAGTAGAGGTAGGCCGAAAAAGTATTGGGGAGAGGTGATTAGATAAGATATGACGTTGCTTCAGCTTACTAAGGATATGACCATGAATAGGAAGGTGTGGAGGTTGAGGATAAAGCTAAAGGGTTAGAATAGTCGCCTAGCGTTGTCCTTTGTCTGTAACAGTAGCTATAAGTACATGAGTTAGCATTATTTATTCTTTGACTCCTCTGTTTACTTGTTGTTGCTTTCATTCTGGCCTTTTGAATATAATACTCAGTTTTAGTTTGTATCTTTATTTTTTGTTTCGGTTTCTAATTGGTGTGCTTGCTTGTTGCTGCCCTTCTTTTATTTTTCCTAAGCCGATGA